CTGGGCATGGCAAGGGGGACCCAGAGGCTGCGCTGACCCCGCTGCCTGCCCCTGCCTGCCCAGCGCTGCCTACGGCCTCATCGTCCGCCCCAATGACTTCGCTTCCTACCTGCTGGCCATCGGCATCTGCAACCTCCTCCTCTACTTTGCCTTCTACATCATCATGAAGGTGCGGGCCAAGCCCCCTGGCCTGTCTGTGTGGGTGCTGCCTACCCAGCAGGGAGGGCAGGGACAGGCACCTCTGCCTGCTCCTGCCAGCTCTTCACCTTGAACCCTCCCACAGCTCCGCAGTGGTGAGCGCATCAAGCTCATCCCCTTGCTCTGCATCATCAGCACCTCGGTGGTCTGGGGCTTTGCCCTCTTCTTCTTCTTCCAGGGGCTCAGCACTTGGCAGGTGAGCAGGGGGTGCCTACCCAGCAGGGAGGGCAGGGACAGGCACCTCTGCCTGCTCCTGCCAGCTCTTCACCTTGAACCCTCCCACAGCTCCGCAGTGGTGAGCGCATCAAGCTCATCCCCTTGCTCTGCATCATCAGCACCTCGGTGGTCTGGGGCTTTGCCCTCTTCTTCTTCTTCCAGGGGCTCAGCACTTGGCAGGTGAGCAGGGGGGTGGCACGACAGGGAGCCCAGGATGGCCACTGGCCAGCACAGTGACACCTGGCCCTGTCCCCAACAGAAAACACCAGCCGAGTCCCGGGAGCACAACCGTGACTGCATCCTGCTCGACTTCTTTGACGACCACGACATCTGGCACTTCCTCTCCTCCATCGCCATGTTCGGCTCCTTCCTGGTGGGTGCTGGCAGACCCCCAGCTGCCCCTGGCTGCCCCTACCCCATCTCAGCCATCCCAGCCCCCCAGCTGACCCCAGCTCACTGTGGGTCCCCTCGCCCTGCAGGTGCTGCTGACGCTGGACGATGACCTGGACTGTGTCCAGCGGGACAAGATCTATGTCTTCTAAGAGGTCGCAGCTGCCCGCTGCCCTGGGATTGTGCCAAATGCCCAGCTGTGCCCCCCGGGGAGGGATGCCCATGCTGTGGGTCCTGCTGGCTACTCCGTCCCCCTCCCCACGGCACCAGGGGGTCCCAGTGTGCCTCCCCCCCTGTGGCTGGGCCCCTCCCCGGCACTGTGCGCCTGTTCCCAGGCTCATCATAGCCACAAAACAGTCTGGGGG